CGTGGAACTGTACCTTCTGCACCGCATATGCACAAGTCGACAAAACTGAATCCGCCTGAGAATCCAAGCCATGAAATCGGTTCCATCAAGGCTCGTCAATCAAGCGAGGTGATTTAAACATCAAGCTGTAGCCATTCCTGCACGTGGTTCACTACCATTTGATGCAAGATCGTTGCGGATCTTGCTCCGGATTGAACAGTGATCGCGCACTCATCGATTCACTTATAAATAAATTACATATATGAAATAGTATTTAGTCAGTAAATCAGTCATGAAACTTAAATTCAAACCAGCGTCTCGTTCCGCCTGAATCTTCGGACGACACACCATATACATTGATAAGTACTATGGGCACTTTCGAAAATGAATTAACTGTCTTTCAATTTACTTCTCTGCAAACCTGCTAATGTTAAAAACACGGTATCGAATCTAGGTAAGACGACAAAAGTTTCTAGCTTTGTGCTAATTTCGTTCACAAGAAATTTTGCTCAAATTGGGTTGAGTACAATAGATAACAGTATCGTAATCTACGAAAATCCTGAATATGTTAACGCTTTGACTTCATGATTTTTACTAGATTAAAATGAAAACAAATCGGCAGCGGCGAAAACTGTTTTTATTAGACAATCCAAGATAACGGTCAAAAATGACATCGCTGATACTTCAAACAGGTTTGTTCAAACCCACTGCAGTGATGTGGTTATGTTTCTACGCCCCGTAAATGCTATATCATCGAGTCACTGTTTTTCTAAATAGCTCTCTAAGCCTCTAAGCACAAGTAGACGCTATGATTATGCCGTGCCAATCGGAGAGCTTGCTCCGGTTATTTTCATCGTCAGTAATAAAAGTTCAAGTGGTTAAGGAATTCATTTTCACAGTAAGTCTATCACTTTTGGGTACGGCAACTGTTTCAGGAGGTTTTTTCAATGGCTAATATCTTCCACCAATTGGCCGAGATACATGGACTGGATTCCCACGTATCTGTGTCAGATTTTAGTATAACTGAACCATCTGGTCATGTCTCTGCCGCTTGGTTGCGTGACACGTACCTCATTGACTTTCTTCAGTTGAACAATTTGTGAGATACGGAACAAACCGTTGTAGTAACCTCTCATTCCATGGACTAACTGACTGCTTGTATTGCCTTTCAACATGACAACCTATGCATGAACGCAACGTTCAATCTTCGAAGTCATTCATGACACTAGATTCCTACATGGCCATGATAAATAACGGTAAATTTTGCACCATGTAGTCAAACTTTTGAATACAAGCTGACGTTATATCTGACGAATTGTAACCTCTTGTAAAATAATGTTACTCATATTCTTCATGGGGAACTGAAGAATTCAAAATATAAAAAATATCAATATATTATGTAGACAGCATTTGTGATGGGAATTGTGCAAAAAAGACATCAACTGTCAACGATTTTGTAATAGGACTTTGAAACGCATGGATAACGGAATACCGACGAGTAGTGGCTAGCCAGCAGGGCAGGCGCTGTGAATATAGTATTACGACTGCATATAAGAAGCTATATCTAACAACATACGGCCACCGCAAGCCGGTAAGCGATACTCTTCAGTAATGCTGCCCACTTAGAGCATCAAGCAGAGCTGATCAATGGTTTCGATGGTATCCTTTACTATTTAATGTGAACGGCTGTTAGGAGCAAGATATTTACATATATGATCTCATAACATAGCCGTTACTGGACATGAAATTCTGTAGCAGAGATAGGTTGTGTGCGATAACTTGTTTAAGGCGCAAGAGTTATACGCATGTCCGCATGAAAACTAATCTACTGGTCACTCAGGGCAGCAATTTAGCTATAAATGACTCTTTCAACTGTCCTCGAAACGACAAACGTGCCGTTTTCTGCAAAGAAACAACAAAACATTTTATTCAGTGTGTATGGTCCTTTCAAGACCCCGTACTTAAATCGTGTACAATCCATGGCATGGATCTTTGGTCTGTCAGTGGAAAGACTAGTTAGAGGAGCTGCTCGATCTCTAAATAACATGTTTTTGGCTCTAGCGGTGCGACACAGCGTAGACAAGCGTTGAGGTAAACGTTAAGCGTTTTGATCGGTGCAGTAGCATTCCCTTCGGCACCAGAACTGCATTTGCATTTGCAGGCAAACCGGCAACTTGACGAAACGTACGTGAAGAAGCAGAGGTGGCAAATCAATGGGTACCGCGTGGCTGTCACATCTGTACGAATGCGAAACAACTGACCGACCGATAACATAGCGTGACTGCCTCCTGAACAACTCTCCCTAACCCGCTGGTACTGACCGTATGACAGTCATTCTCATCATATTAGTGGATACATAATGCGGTGAGGATAAAAACGGAAGTGTGCCAACATTGAAGACGATATGGTCGTGCATTGCAACAACGGCTGGTCTTGAATTTTATCGACATCCTTGTTTCCACTCTAGACGAAGCTGACCCGAGTAATGACGCTCTTAAGACGTCGCTGTTTTCGAGACGGTTAAAATCCCTAAACGTAATCCATATGCGTTTAAGGACAATGCAAAACGTGGAAATGCCTCGATAAAGCAGACCAGTTTGCGGAACGGAATATGATCTTTGCCGCAGTACTGAACGTTGCTTAAAATCAATCTGAAGTACCATTTCTAAGAGTCAAGCATCAGAAACCTCCGTTACTCAGATGAACATGACACAACAACATTGGAGCAGAATTTTGCGAGTCAACATAGAAACACCGCCCTAGTCATGGCGTAAAGAGAGTATGGCGCTGTTCAATGTTGACTACGGGCAACGAAGCGAGGGAACCGTTTAATCTTAACGTTATACGTCGCTATGGATGCCAGGACGCGAAAATGAATTTTGCGAATTGTCCAGTTCTTGAGTTCGTGTTAAGTGAATGCTCTGCATTTGAAACTAGGTGAATGAGAAACATTTACAACTGCGATAATATCTTTTAATTTGATTGCCAGTTATTGATTTTGTAGTGATTTTGAGCACTCTGAAGATGGTCATTAAGTCAAAGTCAGCAACGTGAGAATACAACAACAGACGGCGAACGCCCCGAAGCTGCCATTATTTCTAAAGCAACGAATTCAACTTCTCGTCACCGTATTTACACTGATTAACCGGCTCTAAGCAGTCGTCCAGAATGACAATGCCATATCGAGTATCGTGATGCAAGAGAACAGACGGATAGTTGAAAAGTGAATAAATAAAAATGCAATAACGACGAGAAGCGGAAAGAAACTGGCTTTAAAGGAAATGATTTGCCAACTACCTAAATGAGCGCGTTATGCAGGATTTACCGGTCAGACTGACAGCAGCGAAGCTTCAACGCTGGCCAATGGCACCCTTGAACTGACTGATCAATGAAACTACATGCAGCGTTTCAACAAAACAGAGAAAATCGATTTGTGCCTCTCTGATTTTGAATTCAATCCCACAGCATGTAAGCCTCAGCGTCCCGGGTGAAAACGGACGATTTCAGAGGCTATAACGGTGACCGCTGAAGATAATCCAAGTCTTTGCCTGTCGTGCCGTGTATTTTCCGTGAATGCGATCAGTCGCCGCTTAAAGCTTGCCTACAATAGCTATCAGTAGGTGTCGGAGGTGGTCTAGCGTATCATCAGCCCACGGTTAACACTCAGCAAAGTGATGCGCAACGATGAAGAATGTGTCAATAAGCCATTAAATTCGTATGTCTCTGGAACCGTACGAGGCGCTTTTCATCATTTGCTAAAGTATGTACGTATGTCCGTACACGACTGCCGAAAAACATAACATCGTTCCACCTGCGCATCGATGAAACATACTAAGTCTTCGAAGCTTGTGAAAGTCGGTCAGCAAATTTTAAGAGTCTTGACGGCTGTGACTCCCGTTGTGTTACTCCTATATCCACGATTCGCTTTCGGTTGTTGCGGCGGCGTATTGCACTACCGGCGTGTTGCCGGCCGATCGCTGCGATTCCGCCTTTAGCAAGAACGCGCAGTGGACAACGCATTCTCAAAAAATGGCCTTTGATCACTTCTAAGGTGAGAATACTTCCCTCTGCGCTATATTACCCCATCAGTTAACGCGCCTCTCATTGGATTCTATTGCATTTTGGCGTTTCCACATTGTTTCCTGTCCCCGCAGTGACATTTGCGTCTCGGAGTTCATCAGAGTTCTTTCGGCTAGCGGCTTTACAGTTCTGCATCGCTTCTTGCGGCTTCCCGCAAAAGCAGCAGCTTTATCCTACCGACGGATCGTGACTCT